GTGTTCTTTTCTTTGTTCTAGAATTGTGCAAACAATCTACCTTATGAGGATTTCCTTGTAAGTTTGCAAATTTGTATTGTTCTCTTTGGGAGAGAGTGTTCTCAAGAATTTAGGGTATAATTCTTGAGGGTTTGTAAGGTTACTCTTTTTCCTCAAAAGAAAGACAAATTAGTGAATTTGTGGAAAATCCTTAGTGTGGATAGCTAAGGCAGTGGACGTAGACTTTGGTTGAGAAACTCGAACCACTCTAAATCGATGTGAAATTACTTTCAATTTTCTGGAAAAGCTTCCACCAAATTTTTAATTACCAATTCACCCCCTCTTGGCCGATTTTGTCAATCGATTAACTCAACTCCACTCTAGAGAGATTGTCTTTTTGAAAAAATGTTTTTCTTTCTCTTTTATTTTCAAAGTTCTGAAAATATCAATTAAAAGAGTTTCGAAAAATGTTTAATCAGAAGTTTTGAAAATATTGCCCCTTTCACAGTTTTATAATTAAGACGAATCATAAAACTAGAGTTCATTGGATATCAAAGAATTAATTACATTGTTAATCCTTCAATAAATTATAGCTATTTGACACGTGCCAAGATCAAAGCTATTTTTGGGAAATGGTTAAATAAGGAAAGGATAAAAAAGTCTCAGGTTATTGTGTTTGGTCAAAGGTTTGACATTTTTTTTATTTGATGATAGGGTAGCTTGTATGCTCCTCTACTAGAATTTTTCTCCGACTCCCAGCTTTCATGGTCACGCTCGGATTGTGCGATGCCTTATCAAGGAATTTGTGTGATCGCCTCAGCTGTCCAATTTTTATATTCGAGCCACCTTTTCAGGTTTTCAACTCGAATCCTCCTTTGGTTTTAAGACGTCATTCGAAATTTACGTAGTGAACCCCCCTTTGTTATTTTTCTCTATCATGTATTTACATTATTTTTTGCAAATAAAGATTAATCCTGATGGGCGGGATGAAATATGAGGATATTCTCTTCTGTTCAGAACTTCATGTATGATTAGAAGGGACTTTTAAGACACGTAATGTAGGTCATGGTTCATGGTTATGAAAGAAAATGATATATAGGCCCAAACAAGTGTTTTAGGGTATCGAACCAATGATCAATTCATTCTGATGCCTTCAATCCTGTCTTACCCAATTTGAATATACTCGTATGTGTTTCTCTTGATTTTCTTTGGATGTTCCATGATCTTCGAGTGAAGTGGTTCCAGAATAATTGTGCTTGATCAATCTTATAATTTGAATCTCGACGCGTCATTTGAATCGAGTGAATCTTTGCATATGCGTCTTGTCTTCTTTTTCTTCACTTTTTCCTTTGTTTTTGTTTCTCTTTTTTATTTTCTCTTTGTTTTCTCTTTGTTTTTTCTCTTTTTTCTTTTTGTTTTGATTGAATCTTCGCACTTGGCATTTGGTATCTCCTTTGGATTGATGTCTTCACTCATGTGAGTAGATTTCTTCCACCTTACCCCCTAGTGTGGAGTGATCCTTGGTTAGGGTTGAATTAGAAGAAAAATACTATAGGCTTAAAAGGGGACACAAGGGATATATATTTTCTCCTGTTGTGAAGGGATAAAGAAAGAAAGTCGTTCATCATTTCATACATGGAAGTTTTCAAAGAAGAGGTATCCCAGGGGGATAGATTTTCAGGATTAATTTCATTTACATGAAAATAGTGTAATTAATGCATGATAGAATTATTTCGAATGAATTCTTCTTTTTGCTTCTTGGTCCCGACATGTCTTAATGTTCAGGCTCCTTGCGAAATACCCCGAGTTAGAAGAAACCTCATGTTCAAATGAATAACTCAATGCCTTAGGTATTAGTGGTATAAAAAAAGTCAATTTTGAGTCTAAAAAGACAGTGGTGTGACTTTATTGACTCAAAGAAAGATTCAAAAGTTTCAAAGGGTGGTAATGTCAAAATCTTGTCTTATGGTAATGATCATGAATTATTTTGGGTAAAGAATCAAGGTATTTTATTTTGGGATTTGAGGCAGGATAAGAAATGTCTAATCTTGCCATATGTCAAAAATCTATAATTCTTGAAGAATTAAAAGAATCCTTAATTCATTTAATATTCGAAGAACTAAATATTAAAATTTGTTCAATTATTCCACCTTAGAAGGTAGCACAAATTCAATCGTTTAAAAGATTAAACAAACATGAAAGATCAAAGACGTGTTGAAACAAAACAATGCTCTAAGTGCAAATGGTATATAAAATGCCCCCTTCTTCGGTTGTCCATGCCCCTGAATCCATCAGGTTTTGGATCTTGCGCTTCGGTGCCTTATAGTTCTTTGAGGAGTGTCTGAAGCTTCCTATGTTGTAACTACACACAGCTTCAACATCGTAGCCCTTAGGATATGGGGATTCTATTCTCAGATCATCCTGGCAGGCTTTATCCTACAATTAGCTGATCAGGCTTCCACTGTATTGATTTCAATTTTTTTAATTGTTAAAATCTCGATTCCATGTGGTGTCACGTGATTAGGACCACTTCATCGAATCCTCCATGAAGAAATTTTATGTTTATGAAAATGCTTTAAAATGAAATATAAATGAAAAAACGCATGAAATGCTCGATGCATTGATACGAAAACATGTCTGTTATTATAAATAATCCTTATTGGGGACAAAAGTGTTTTATCTTTTAAGAGACAAAAAATATCCTGACAGCTTCTGACATGTTGACTAGTCTTCTGCCTTCGTCTGTCACCTGTTGAATAACTTGTCGAACCGCTTCGGCTTCTCTGGATGAACCGTGCAAATGTTGAGTTGCTTTTTGTACTGGTCCAAGAAGTCTCAAATGACTGCATCTCTGGCATTTATCTTTTGTTGAACATGTTCCCAACGAATACGTCATTGGAGCCCTTAATTGATAGGAACTATGTGAAGTTTATTTGTCTATTTCTTGATTTCGTCAGCAATGGTCTCCAATTTCAGCTATCATTTTGCCATTGTTGTCTTTGAAGGGACTCCCAAGATCAGTAACCTTTATCTTGCCTCTAGAACCTCTGCTAGTCAATTCGTCAAAGATAAACTTTCATTATTCTTGATGTAGACCCGGTTCATTCTGAGTCCTTTATAATGCAGTAGAGTGATATACACTTCAATTGTGGGCACCACGTCTTCTGGATTGAATGTGACACATAGTCGCCTTGTAGATTGTCCTCTGCATTTTCATCTATTGTATTACAAACCCTTTCTCCATTAATGCAAATTATTTATGTTTAACAAACATGTTTTAGTGGATCAACACCCCTTTTGAATGATTTACATGATAAAAAAGAATAAAAAAAAAGGAAAATAAAAGGAGAAAAAAAATTAATGAGATAAGGATAATAAAAAAATAATAATGAAAATAAAAAGTCCCACCTCATATGATATCTACCCAACATTCTTATTATTCCTACCCGGACATGATCTCTATCCCGTAAGTTGATTTTGAACAAGTCCTAACCGCATAAATTTCTAGTTCACATGCTTTGAACATAAAATAAAGCAGGAAATAATATCAAAGTAGCCTAGGGTTTGAAATGAGGTTTTGAGGTGAGTTGTAATTCCTGTAGTCTCCCGGTTTAGGTTCTAAAAAAAGGTACCCGAGTTCTCTTTGCTGGTACCCCCTTAGGCTTACCAGACCCTTAGTCCTAAGCTCATTACAAGCTTGGGTGGACTAAGTTAAACATGAGAGACATTCCCTTATGCCCATACGGAGAATAAATTCACACGAAGACATAAGGTATATGAATCCCGAAGGTTACTTGCTAGGCCCATACGGAGAATAAATTCCCACGAAGGCATCGCTTTTATCCCCACTTAAACAGGGTTCGAAGCTTGGGTATAGAGCTTGAGATGAAAATTTTGAAAATATGAAATCATTGAGAAAAACGTCAGTACCACTATTTATTTGAAAAATAATCAAAGATAAATAATTGGAATCAAATAAATAAATTTAAATTTAAATTTGCAATTTTCGCTCGAAAAGATAACCGAAAATTAATTTCGGCCTGACTCACTTACTTGTCCCCAGCAGAGTCGCCAAGCTGTCGCGACCGTCTTTCTTTTGGACCCGGAATTGGGCTTCGACTTGAAATAATTGGGTTAGAGTCGCCACCGACCATTTTAAAACGAATTTAGGTGGGTCGGACACCATCTTACCTGATCTGCATTTCACCAGAAATGTGTCAGATTCGGGAGTTGGTTACAGTTAAGGAATGATTAGCACCCTTGTACTGCCCTTTCGGTACCAATTAATTTGTCGGTTGTCTTAGTTGAGAAAATTAAAATTAAAATTTAAAAATTCAATTCAAATTGCTCACCTTTGATCGATTGAAATTACTACTGAAAAAGTCAAGAAAGAATGTTAAATTAAAAAATAAATATTAAATAAAAAGAGGAAAAAAGGTTAAAAAAATTAGAAAAAAAATAAATAAAATTATGTTAACAGTAAGAATAAAAAATAAAATAAAAATAATATTAAAAGGGTAATAAACTAATAATGAAAATGAAATAAAAGAAAAAAAATAAAATTCGAATTAAAGGATTAAATTGAAAGGAACTAAACATTAAAGGCTTAATTGACATTAATTATGGGCTGCAAGAAAAAAATAAGAAGTTAAAAGGGTTTAATTGCAAAAAAGATAAATTATCAGTAGGGATCAAATTGTTACAAATTAAAGTACACATAAACAATCAAAACGACCACAAAAAATATGAAACAATGCTTTCCACGTAAGAAATGTTGAAAGGATTTATGAACCTTTTTCACCAGCTGAACGATTCAAAGCCGTAGAGACTTCTTGTCTGATGGATCGCTGCAATTCCAACTGCATATCAGCTCTTAGATCATTAATCATCTCCCATTCTTGAGCCAAATGACATGTACTGGGACGCAGATATCTCTGGTGTCGGTTATTGTTCAACCAAACGACGAACACTCGCTTGGCTATCCCAACTTCCTCGCATAAGCGTTGTATCTCTGCCTCCTCATCCACAATAATTATATCGCCTTTTTTACAAAAACATGGGATTGCACTGAACATGGTGGAGAGCCCATAAGAATAGAGGATGGAATCAGTCGTTCCCAAAAAGTTTGCTATTATGGCCTCACAATCAAGGTGGACATCAATTGTTCCGTAGAATCAACGAGGACCACAAGAACCGACAACATATTTCTCCAGTGCAAAGGTACAAGAATCAAGCAGTTTTTCATGCCCCACAAATCCAAGATAATTTGCAGAAGCAAAGTTCACAACTTCTTTTCCATTGACTCTAGCATGAGGCCCTGCAACACTTTCCAGCACCGGAGGTTCACTCTGCATCTCTTCTGTAATAGGAAGAATAAGAGATTTCGGGACCCATTCATCATAGAGCTCGTCTATTTCATTCTTAGTTAATGGCCTCTTAGGAGGCTTGTGACTTTTTTGCGAAAGCATAAAAAGAATGACCACCAAAAGAAGAACCTCAACGAATAAATGCCCGCCTATATGGACTCCAAACACTACAGCTCGGGCAGAGGGGGCATTCAAAGCCCAAGTGACCCAATTTAAAGTAGCATTAACCAAACATAAAGCAGATGCTTCCATTGCTACTTGTAAGGCATGTCTCCACGAATGATTGGTCACCTCTCCAATTCTATTAGGTGAAAAGGATTTTAAATATCCCCTCCCTCAAGCACGTGGGCTGCATTTGTTTTAAATTTGGGAATGGTTATATGTGGTGGGGCTTAAGGAAGGGAAAAGTTGTTGGGTAGTGTTTGAGTGGACATTTTAGATGATAGTGGGTAGTGGAATGGTGGAGAGTTTGTTGGAAATAGGATTGAACATGGGCCCTGCAAAATAAAATAAAATAATAATAATAAATAATAATGTTATTAATATAAAAAAAAGTTTAAAACCCGGACAAAAACGAGTGTCTACAAATACTAATAATTTTTATCCATAGATCACCTTTAGAATCATAGTTGGATATATCTTAAGGTAACGAACAAATGTCTCAATGGTCTTTATTTCATTTCCATGTTGTAACAATATCAGAAAATGTCGACGTACTTGATTTATGGTTCTTAACCCATAGGAACAATACATCATGAAAGTTCATCCGCGTTTCTAGACTTATCCAAATCACTTACTTAATCCTCAATTATTGAGGCTACTTAGTTCATTTAGTAATCAAGTCTATCCCGGTCATTTCAGAGTTTTTCAGATTAATTCGGACGTTTCTAAAATTAGGATACATATGATACTTCCGTTCAGTTCAATTTAGTCATAATAATAAAGTCATATTGATATTCGAGGTGGATTTGTTCATTTCAGAGCTGAGGGTATTAGTTATTCCAGGGTTTAGAGGTACTTTAGGCCATTTTACATTTTAGGGGCAGTTTGGTCATTTTACACTTTAGGGGTATTTTCATAATTTATATATGGCACTCTTATCGGTAATTTCATATCCAAAAATTTCCAACATTTAACCTTTAACAAGATTAATTTGAATTTACACATTCAGAGATTTATTGATTAAATCATTGAATTGAGGTTTATTCTCGGTCATTCTACCTATTTCTTTTTCGAGTCATCTTAGGCTTTTACAGTGTTCTGTCCTTAATCCAATTTCCGCCTCAATCCAATGATAATTAATTACATCTAATGGACCAATCAATTCCATGCATGCTCGTACCAATTATCAATTGGTTCTAAAAAGCATACAAATGATAGTAGAATATTACCTTGATTTTTATGCCATATCGATCAACCCTTTTAAACTCCATTTGATCACTCTCGAACTTGAATTCAACGTCCAATAATCCTTCGGATGCCAAACAACCAAATTTACGTCAGAAACTGAACTTAATTTAGAAACCAACTTGAATCCGAAGATAAAACATTGAAAAACGGCTCGCCAGGTGCGAATTTGGAAAAACAGACTTTAGATTCAAACCCAGCACGTCGAAAAACATAAAATAAGATCTTTTCGAAAAAGTTGATTTTTTTGTCAACGTCAATGACCAATGGGTTGACTCATTCAAAGTCAACAGTCTGACCGGTTAACAGTTCGGGTCATGTCAAAATAGTTAGGGTCGGGTCAAGATGATCGGGCAGACGGGTCGGGTTGGGATTATTCAGACTGGTCTAGACCGGCTGGACCAGTTCTAGAACATTTACAGAGCTGGCAGAGTAAGTCCACGCGCCCTGCCGGCGAGTGGCAACGCGTGCGGCGGTGAAAAAGGTCGGTTTGGATGACCGATTAATCGGAAAACAACGAAAACCAATAACAAACCAAAATCATCTCAGATTACAACGCAAAACATAACAAAATAATAAAAAATCGATTGGTAACTTACCCATATCGGTGATCGGCGACAGTGCGTCGACGCCGAACAAAATCAGTCGGGTTTTGAGCGCATGACGACGGTGAGTGCAGTGGAGGCGGTAGTGAGTCAAAACAATGCCGGACGCGACCGAAATCAACGAAGATACACTAGGCGACGGATGGTTTTCGACGAAACTTCCCAGAGAGTTTCACAGCGAACAACGGCGATTCATGATGGGCTAAGAGTCTGGTTTTGTTCACCGTTCGACGGTGAGTCTATTGATAGCTTCAGAGAGACGAACGATGGCCGGAAGACGGAGGAATCAAGTGACAAAAAGGGTCGGTGGGGGAGATAATTTTGAGTGTTTTATTTTCAACTGGAGAAAATGATCGGGGAGATGTTTATTTTCCAACTTTAACAGAAAATGGGTAAATTCAAGAATAGGTCGCCTAATATTTTATACTTTCTAAAACTGTTTATAAATTTCTATAACTCGTAATTTTACCCCTAATTTGGGGTGTTACATTAAGCGAAATAAGAAAGAGAAGGTTGAAATGACGACCTTGGTTTCAAGCGAAGAAGTAACAGAGGCTTGAAAATAAAGAAATGGAGGAACCAAGACAACCTAAATTTGGGTCCTTTAGATGGCAATGTTGAAAGTTCAGGTCTTTATTCAAAAAAACAAATTAAGCGAGGAAAATAAGAAACACCCAAAATGCTAAATGGCCTAGTTATGAGAAGGAAGAGAGAAGATGTGGAGAAAGAGTACGAGGAAAGTAAATATGGGACGGCGGTGGCGGCGGAAGGGCGGAAGCGTCAGGTGCAGAGGAGGAGGTGGTCCTGGGGAAGAAGAGGAAGAAGCCAGAGGACGTTGGGGTGGTTGCTTTGGTACCAAAAGAAGGTTTTGATGATGAGAGTAAACTTTTGAGGACTTTTTTTGTAGGAAATTTGCCTATTAAAGTCAAGAAGGAAGTGTTGGTAAAGGAGTTCAGTAAGTTTGGAGAGATTGAGTCTGCTGTTAGAATTCGATCTATTCCTCTAAGAGGTGTTATGTGATTCTTTCTGCTCTTTTGGGTCTTCAAATTCTTTAATAAATGATTTTACTAATTGTTTTCTTTCCTGTTGGACTAAGAAGCCAAGAAAATGAGCTATATTGTTGAAGCAAATTAATGAGAAAACTTATAGGTATTTTGTTAAATCAGAAATGGAGGACTACTTTGTTTTTATTTTTTTCACTCAACTCACATATATTGATAAACTTTTTCTTTTGCAGTGTTCATGAATACATTGTTTTCAACACCGATCAATCTGCAGAGGCATCTTTAGCCAATAACATGGCAGTGGTATTCTTTGTTATTATTGATGTCTGAACAACTGTAATGCTTAAGGTGAAGATGCTATCATGGATATAGATTGCAGGAAATCACATTCGTGTTGATAGGGCATACCCTCCGAGGAAAAAGTTGAAAGCAGAGAATGTTCCTCTATATGATAACAAGAGGACTGCTTTTGTTGGTAATCTCCCATTTGATGTGAAGGTGATAATTTCTGTCTGATATTTCGATCTTGGTTCTAGTATAAGATTAACATTACCGGCCAATAATACTATGATCTGAATACAATGTTAAAACTTATTGCAGGATGAACCAGGAAATCTCACTATGTATTACTGGAGGACTTCAGTGCAACTAATCTAGTTTGGATAGTACAATAGTTTGATCTAAATTTATCTTATCTGCAAATGCATGTGTTTGTTTCAGCGACAGAAATTTGGATTTCTTATTTTTCAAGTTACTGTTTTGTGACATTCATATTTTCTCATAGTGAAATTCTTCTACCGTTTCATTCGAGTTCAGTACCAAAGCACATACGAGTTCAGCATTTTGGGTCCTTTAGATGGCTCGGAAATAAAGAAAGTGAGGAACCAAGACAACCTAAATTTGGGTCCTTTAGATGGCAATGTTGAAAGTTCAGGTCTTTATGCAAAAAAACAAATTAAGCGAGGAAGATAAGAAACGCCCAAAATGCTAAATGGCCTAGTTATGAGAAGGAAGAGAGAAGAGGTGGAGAAAGAGTACGAGAAAAGTAAATCTAGTACAATAGTCTGCTGGAATCCAGCATTTCATTCAAGGACAAAGAACATACGAGTTCAGTACCATTTCATTCGTGAAAAGGTGGAAGAATGGACAGTAGATATGCAGAAGATCCATACCAAAGACAACATAGCATATTTCATGACGAAGGCGATCAATACTGATAAATTTACTTGGTGTCGATCCTCTTGTGGCCTGTCAGAGACATAAACAACATGATGGTACATGGTAGAAAGAATGGTGTGAAGATATGATTGTTCCAATCAAATCTTCAAGTGGGAGATTGTTGAAAATCAATGCACCGAAAGTGCATGGTTTGAAGAGAAAAAATATTGAATTTTGTCAACAATTGTAGGCACCGAAAATTAGGTGTAGAAATTGTTGATTTTTTATATGGGCAAATTACAAACTCTAGTCACTAAAATTTAGGGTATTTACAAATTAGTCTTTAAGCTTCAACTATAAATACCCTAGCTCATTTAGCTTCAAAACTATCCCAAAGCATTCTAGCTTTCTTCCAATACTAGAGAGAATTTAGAGAGTTTCTTGAGAGTTGTTTTCTCCTTTTTATCAAGAGAGAATTATCATTGTTTTCTCCTTGATAGATCGAGAGAAGTTGTAATTCCTATTTTCTCATAGTGAAATTCTTCTACCGTTGCCTGTGGTTTTTACCCTATTTTATTTAGGGGTTTTCCACGTAAATTTTGTCTCTTTTTATCTTCATTTTTTATTTTCTCAAATTATCAGTTACGATTTTGCTCTATCCGATAGCCGTCTTCCGCAACAATTGGTATCCGAGCCATATTTGAGTGTGTAATATATGCTTATTGTCTTTGTGGTTGCCATCAAAAGGTGGATCCTCCAACATAAGAAAATAAGAAGTTATTACCCATTTTTTGAAGGTTCTAGAGAACTATTCACGATAGTGAAATAGTGAGAGCTATCTGTAAAAGAAGCTATGGCAACGAAATTTGATATTGAAAAATTCAATGGGAGAAATTTCTCATTGTGGAAATTGAAGATGAAGGCCATCCTGAGGAAAGACGGTTGTCTAGAAGCTATCAGTGAAAGGCCGGTGGATTTTACAGATGACAATAAATGGATTGAAATGGACGGGAATGCTATTGCAAACTTTCATCTAGCATTAGCAGATGAAGTATTGTCAAGCATCGAGGAGAAGAAG